CCGGTCCGTCGCAAACAACGAAAGCAAGAATCTGAGTTTAGGAAAATTATACCTTTGCAGATCGGCATTGGAGGCTCGTGGACCGAGGCAAGACAAGAGAAGCAAGCCCCCCTTTTTTTAAATTATAATTAGTATCAATTAAATACAATTAATTAAATAATTTCTTTTAATTAATAATTTATAATTAACTATAATTAATTAAATAATTAATTAAAATTCATTAAAATTAATTAAAACAATAAGTTATAATTAATTTAAAATTAATTATAACTTAATATTAATTAATTCTAATAAAATATAATTAATTAAAAATAATTAGTTTACAAATTATGATTAATTAAAAATAATAGTTTTGATTAATTATATTTAATATATATATATATATACAAAAATCCCTCGGTTCGGCAGATATACGGAATTTGGCTGAGAAGCATGCGGCAAGGGAGAAAGTTACCTTCACTACCAGCGAGCTCCTGTAGTTGCTTCCGATCAAACAGGCAGGGAAGGTCGTGGAAGTAGCAAAGTCGAACGGCAGCACAGGAGGCGGCGAGCTCCCATTGTTCCGTCCAATGAAAATGTTGTAGCTTCCGACCCGACGAGAAGGAAAGTCGGAGAAGGAACGGAGTTGCACAACCACGGAGGAGGAGGCAGGGAAGCAGCGCAAAAGGGAGAAGGTAACTTCACAACAAGTGAGCGCCCGATGTTGCTTCTGATTAAAATGTACAACTTCTGATCTGACATGGAGGGAAAGTCGTCGAAGGCGCGAAGTCGTCCAGCCACGAAGGAATTTGAGAGGAGATGAGAGCGAGAGAATGGGTGCGGAAAGAGTGTGAGCAGCAAAATCCCTCCCTTCCTTTGACCTTTTGATGTCGCGAGGAGATTGTGCGATGTGGGCAGCGACATGGGTCGTGCGGGAGAGGTCGCGAACGCGCGCGACGTGCGATGACGTGCGAGGCAGAGCAGGTAAACGACTTTTCTCTTTTCTCTCTCTTTTTTTTTTTAATTGCAGGTCAACAATTAGATTTAAAAACATGATCATATACTAATCTAGTGTATTACATATAGTTTTTATAAAGATAAATTGCTTGAACAATTACGGTACATAATGTTAAGTGAAGTATTCATATCGAAGGAAATCTTTTAAAGTATTCTTAAATTTTCAATCTTCAAATGTACCATGTTAGTTAAATGTAAAGGTCTCAATATTTTAGATTAATTATTGCATGCATTTGTTGGTTTATTTCCTTTATTTGTTATATTAGAAGATCTTATCTCAGCCTTAAAATATATCACTGTTTAGTTTTTTTTTTTCCATCATAAAGTGGTGGAAGTATCAAACCCACATAACATAATACAAGGTCGAAACCCACCATAAAGGCTCATCATAAAGTTCATTGTAGCCTAGTTGTAATTCAACATTGTCACTTCTTTGCCATAAACGTATCATTGTGATTGAACTATGTGGGGACCTTTTTCCTTCGTAAGGGCTAACCTTTGCTGCCAACTTATTTTTCATGAACGTATCATTGAGATTCTATCCACATAACATGATATTTTTCTCAATTCATTGCATTTTGATTAGTGAGCATTTCATTCATTTAGAGCATGCTAATCAACTTTGTGCATTACTATGTAAATTAAAAGTACTAGTTGACATACCTTTTAAAATACACATTTATAGAATGTTAAAAAATACTTGTAACACTTCAAACATGTATTTGCATATTTTAAAATTGATGTTAGATCATATAATCATGAATGATAGGCTCTCTTTGCAATATGAAGACTTTCTAATACCTTGTTTATTAATTTCATATAGATTTATGCAAAAGAATAAAGTAAATCTTACTTCAAGGTTAGAAATATAGTATCCTATCCAACTGGCGATCAACTATAGGACAAACTTTCTTATTATAATCATCTTGAAACCTTGCTTTTTGTAAGCAATCCATAAAATGCAAATTTCTCAAATTTTCAATTTTCCATAACTTATCAACTCAAATCCAAATAAAATTAACCTCAATAAAACTTTATCTCAAAATAACCTTCCTTATTGAAGTCTCAAAGCCTAATACTTAAATACGAAGCCGTTGAGTTGAAGGAATTCACGAAAAAATAGATTTTTGACTTAAAAACCTAGTGTTCGTTTCAATGTTTAAAATTGCGTATTCTGGTATTGAGGCGTTTTTCATTCGTAAGACGAGGCGTAAGCCTCAAGGCATTTTGAGGCGTAAGCCTCAAAATCAAAAGATTGCGTAAACATAAAATGATAAAATTTTTATATACTAATGAGTGAATAATATAAAACATAAAAAATCATAAGATATGAAGTGAAATCAAAATATCCCAATTATAAGACAACATGAAATATAGTTCAACTCAAAATTCTATCTTTCCCAAATCACAGTATTCTTTTCATTAACATATAATTCCAATTTTCAAAAATAAATATTAAATAGCAATGACATATCACATAAGAACTCACAAGTCATCAACACTGTCATCACTAAGGAGTTCTTCATTTGAATCATCATTATGATGAACTGCTCTCTCCCCTTCCTCCTCTCCTATAGAGTCCAATGTCGGGCATTTACTTCAAGATTTATGTAAGTTTTAATATATATATAGTGTGAGGCGTAAGCCTCATGCCAGTGAGGCGAGGCGGGCCTCAACCAAGTTGAGGCGCAAGCCTCATAAAAATAACTCGAGGCGTAAGCATCGAGGCATTTTTTACTGGAATTGCGCAAAGGCGGGCCTCAAGGGGAGCCTCATATTGTGCAATTTTAAACCATGGTTCGTTTCCTTTTCCTTCCCTTCCCCTTTGGCTTGTTCTTGATTTCAGGTTTCAGGATAAATACTGTAATATTTTACTTAGAATATCATATATACATATTTGTATCAAAATGATCCTAATAAAATTTAGGGTTCACTAACATTCTCTATCATTTTTGTGCGGTGCAGAAAATTCGGTTTAAAAATTTTAGGTTTTTTTTGGTTTTTACCTATGCAGGCAAAATTACCGAAGTCAGCAAGCACCTCTCAGTCCCCAAGCTTAGGCTCAAAAGATCATTGCCAAATTATTCCATTTCATAAAAAAAACCACCAATTCACCATTATATACTCGTTCATGCCTCATCAATTCATCCTAGTCATCATCATTAAGCGGATAATCCAACATTTAAATTGTTGTAAAACATGTAAGCAGAATTACAAGCAAACATGATTCTGTGAAGAAAAATAATATGCTGAAAGTCCTTATTTTTTGTATGTTCATCCAGATCCCTCTGAAGCCCATATAATAAAGTGGGAAATACAGAGTTATAGGAATAGTAGCAATGAGTTAAATGCAATAAAGCCAAGATATAGGCTAGGCAACCTTCAGGAGTTTGAACTACTAAAAATAGTTTCTATACCAAAAGATCATGCCATGATTCATGAGTGCATATAATAATTACTTATGCAAATTTTGGATTCTATACTCCAGCTTTTAGAAACACATATTCATATGTTATCTTCTATGATGCACCGATACTTCTTCTCAAAGAGGTGTGCAGTGTCCGACACATATCAGACACGCTAAAAACGTGTCCGATTAAAAAATATTAAATACAAATTGCTCGCTTGTCTTAAATATTTTATGAAAAATTTTTAACGTCTCCTCTCTCGATGTTTGATGCATGACATCTAAACCTGATTCTCGACATTCTAATATTAATCATCTTATGCATAAATTATGACTTATTATTTCTAAATTATTTTTAATATTATACTTTTTCAATTTGTATACATTTAAAATATAAAAATTATAATGTTGTGTCCAACTTGTGTCTATGTTCTATATTTTCAATAATTGATGTGTCCCGTGTCCATATTGTGTCGTATCCGTGTCGCCGTGTCCATGTCTATGCATCATATGTTATCTTCCAAAAGAATGTTACAAGGAAATAAAAATTAGTCAAAAATAAATACAGTTAATTTAAATGTCATATTGAAACAGAATTTTTCAAGGCAATTATAAAACTTAAAATTGGTTGTTTTGACGACTCATAAGTTGCCCTAATCTCATGAAGTGTTCTTGGTGAAGTAGAGCTCCTATAATCACCAAGTTGACAATCACATGCACTGAAGGCTGATTTTGAAGCTGTTGTTGAACGAGAGTCTTTGGTGAAGGTGGTTGTCATTTGCAACTGGTGGTATATTGAGATATATTGGGAGCAACGTCTCTCCACTTTAGATCAAAATAGTTGTATTTTAGTTGGAGACTGACTTGAACAATTGCTACATTGATTTTCAGAGCAATTAACCATTATTTTTAGAAGAAATTGAATCGTTTGAGTTGATGAAAGGCTAGTACAAAACATAAAATTTATAAGTATTTGATGCATACCTCATTCTAAATGCAATGGACCAATGCTCTAAAATAATTAAGAAAGGACCATGGATGATATATAATTAGTAAGCTTTATGTAGTAACTGCCACCCAACCATATAGCAAGAAATATAGGTTATGGAACACCATGCCATTGTCAATATATATCTCAGGGTCACCTAGCTTTTAACAAGGCCAAACAACGTGCATCAAGCTCACCTAATGAAACCAGCGGATATTCAAAAGGATTACCTAAAATTTTTTCTAGTTTTCTCCTTGTAATTTTAGTTTTCCATGGCAAGTTATCTACTTCGATGCCCTCACTTCCTTTTTTAAAGTATTGGTACAATCTAATGTTCAATGCTGCTTTTGTCTGTTTATTATGGACTTGTCTTGTTTAACATATTCGGAATACAGTGCAAACTAAATGCATGCAATTTAAATGCTCTCAATTTTACTACATTTACTTGAGAATTTTGCAGTAAATGAACTATGAAATAAAGTAATTTTACTTTAAATGGATGATTTTACTTCAAACCAAACACCATAAACTAGCAAAGCATACTAATACTTTTAAGTCACCTCAACTTTTTCATTTATCCCCTAACAAATGTGAGTGTATTCCTCGCAGTCTCTTCATACTGCAGTGCTAGGTCCCGATAGTTCACCAATTGAAGTCCAAATAAGGACGCAGGTACAATATTTATTTGTTCATTCAGGCTCTGCAAGATAAATAACACAATAGATAACAATGTTTATAATGATATTACCTTTCCAGCGGATGCACAAATATGCAGAATCTGGGCATGCTGCTCATTGGCTATATAAGGAGAATAAAGTAGAAAATTCAGATATCATAAATGATTCTAAAATCCAAGCATCTTCCTGCCAAACAGCTTGTTTAGAAGATGAAGGTTATATTCAAGAGGATGCTCATCAGAAATATGGTTCCTTAAAAGTGGGGCAGCCAGTCCTGAGGATAGAAGGCAGTCAATTGCTTGCTGCTGTTATTATTAGGTTCATTAAAATTTTGACCAAGAAGCATAAAGTATTATATTAGAAAGTCTTTTTTTAATATCACTTACTAGTGCATTATCCGTTTGTGCAGGGTTGATAAAGGTGGAAGAGAGCTTTTGGTTGCTGTGAGTTTTGCTCTTGAAGCATCTCAAGCTGTAGCAGAGAGAAGATTTTCTTTCCAGATAAAACGTTGGGAAGCTTATGCAAGGTTATATAAAAGGGTAAGCTATAAATTCTGGTTGTTTAGCAGTTAATTATAATTGAATTTGTGAAATGTATTGCACCAACTCCCTTACAATAGTGGTTAAATTTTGAAAGAGTTATGACATTCTAAGAGATATTGTTACATTGTTGATTGAAACTTATAGCTGTAGATCCCTTTGGTCTCCTTTCTATTCCAACTGTTAACGGAACGGAATATTTATCATTCTTCTATATAGGTTGATATTTGAAAGATTTATTGGTTTTTACCTTTGATCTTCATCATGTTTAAAAAGTTAGATAAGAATGCGTATTCTAATCAAGACTGCTCATAAGTAATTGTGGTCATTCGTAAGGACATAAACTGCAGTTTGACGTAGGCTTGGTTATAACAATGGTGCATCAATTGAGGGACTATATAATCCCTTCTTTTATTCTTTAGTTCTTTGTGGGGTGGTGCATATGTTCACGAGGAGGTTGGAGATACTCTAGCTGTATTAATAGAAAGGCATTGGTGTTTTAGAAATACATGAATGGTATTTTCATACTATTCCACATTCACTAAATCCAGAGATATACAATAAATAGGTCTTTGAAAGATTTATTGGTGTTTACCTTTGGTCTACATCATGTCTGAGAAGTTAGAGAAGCATGGTGTATTCTAACAAAGACTTTTCATAAGTAATTGATATTTATTGAACAAAAACATCTAATTTGAAACTAGTTAATATTTGAGATTTTGCAATGTGATTTATGATTGTTTCTTATTGATTTTTACAAATGATGGCAATCAAGTTTGCTCTAGTTCTTTGGTTGTGCCTATTGTTGAATCTTGTTTTTGACCATGCTAACTTTTTACTATATTATGTCCTATTGTTGTTCCTTGAATGACAAATGTCTTTTTCCGGTGCTATATTAATCCGTTTAATATTTTCAGGTCTCTGCTCAGTGGTGGTTTGCACCCGGACATGGGGATTGGTGCACATGCTTGGAGAAGTACACTTTGTGTCGAGATGGGATGTTTCATAAGGTTCACTATATAAAATGCATCTTTTCAGAATTTCAGTTTAATAGAATCATGAAAGATTATTGCAGCATCAATTTTGTCAATAATTGCTGCATTTATAATACGACTTACCCATTCAAGTAAGACAGTTGTGTGTCAAAAACAGCCTTCAATGCTGATAAAGTTTGGGTTTACAGATTGATTTGAGTCTATACCATGTCCTGAATAAGATCAATTGAAATAAAATTTCAGTAGGACAAGTTGGAGATTTTAAATCCTAGAATATCCTCTGATACTCAATCCGTGATTGAGCTTAAAGGTAGGAAAATAATTAAATATTTGACAGTCTGCTTCAGAATGTAAACTATCCTACTTAACTTGCCTCCTTGGGGGTATTTATAAACCCTTGGATGAAGGCTTTTATGGTATTTTCATAAATCATTAGGTGGAGAGGTAATATCATCTTTGTTATTTGAATTGGACCAAAGTGCCCTTTGGTTGTGGGTCAAGTTGATTTATGGATTGCAATTGAGCCACTTTGAGATTCACATTGGACCATTTTGTCCCTTATGTTGATGGATGATTAGATGGAGGCCTAAAGGTTAAATATTGATTCTTATGGAGTTTATTTTATCAAGGTTATTTGGTAAGTTGACATGAACCTTGTTGCAATTAAGCGACATGGGAGATAGGTGGATCCAACTGTCATTGCATGACAATCGCTTAAACATGAATCATGCAGACTTTGATCAAACAATAAAGAATAATTAGGAACTACCCTTTAATTTCATATCAAAGGTAAATGATGCAGGACATATATGAAATTATGATGTAAATAAGGATTTTGCAGGCTTGATGATTAAGAGCGGGTTAATTAAAACTTTATGGTGAGTTAAATAATGAAATAAAACACAAAGAGCGGTAAACACAAGCTTAGGCCAAGTTACTTGCGAAAAGTAAAAATCACATAACAACCAATTACTCTTGAAGTTGCATACGAGATAGGTTTCAACAAGAAATCCCTAATCTAACAACAAGAGTAGTGCTATGAAAGATCTCTCACACAATTCCTACCAAACACTAAGCTTTAGCGGAGCGTTGCAAGATTATGCATGAATCAATCAAAACCACAAGGATCAATGAGGAAGGTATGAACTCTTTGCTAAGATTCAACCTTCTCGCAAGCTTGGACAGCAGTTGGTGGCTTTATGTCAGCGAAACTGTTGATCTCCTTTTGCTGGAATTGATGGACATCAGGCTGTTTTTCTTTGGACAGCAGTTTGAAAGGACTCCCGTTGGTGGGAAGGCCAGGGGAAGATGCAGGAGTTCCTGGACAGCAGCTTTGCAGAGCAGAATGTAGAATTCTGGTTGGGTTTGGAAGGAATTCATGGGAGTAAAACTTGAAAGAGTTGGCAGGGGAGGGGACAGTGAGCCAGGGGAAGAGGGAAATTAATTTGGGTATGAATAAGGGGCACTCATTTAGGTAGGAGAGAGGGAAAAGGTGTAGAGGGGGCTACGGCTATGTGAGGAAGGGGATTGGGTCTTGATTACCTTCCAAATCAAACAATCCTAGATTAATAAGGAGAATTTAAATTAAATCCCTCCACTAATTTCAGAATTAGTTGATTGAAATCTGATTGAAAACTTTCCTAATATAGATATCCTATTTTAGGAAGGTATTCAAATTCAAATCAATTTGAATTTAAAAACTATCCTAATTGGGATTTCTCAAAATTGGAAAGCATTAACTTTGGGATGTGAATTAGGGAGGCAAAGACTTGGGGAAGTAGGATTGGCGGCTAGGGTTAGGGTGGAGTTGAAGGGAAGGGATTAGAGTGGGGGTTGGCTGGCGGCAAGGGATGATGGGGTTAGGTGGCCTGTGGTTAGTGATTTGCAAGATGTCCTTCGGCATATTTTATTTTAGGAAAAAAAATCACTTGTTGCTTGTGTTGAAATTTGAATGAGAAATCACACGGATTGAAGGTTTTATGAGTTTCATTTTATGTTTCTTGGTGGATTGTCACTTGGATCCATGTTATTTCATATTCACTTTCAAATTAAGGTTGATTTGCTGTATCAAGAGGCAGAGATATGTTATTTCTCTTATAAAATAAACTCTTTGCTCTACTTGGGTAGGTGAGCAAAAGAAACTTCTCTATTACATTTCTTAATAGCATTGCATTGGAGCGATAGACCTTCACATGAGTCACCTTCCTCACTATCCTATTCTTGTCTTGCCTTCGTCAATCTCTTTGCCTGGGGCATCACGTCTTGACTTGCTTCTCTCATTAACAATTCGTTGTTGCTCCTTTCTTGATGTTGTGAATCTTCTTCAACATTCTTCAATGCATATCCCTCTCATTTTCATCAAACACCAACCTATAGTTGATGATTCAATCATTAGGCTTTCCCAGCTTGATTTATAATTATATATCTACTCCAGTCATCAATCTCTAGCAGTCATTGTTCTTCCTTGCTGACTAGCCATTGCTCCTACTCCACTTATCTTCTTTCGTCGATTGTAGTTCTCATGTAGTTGTAAATCCTTCGATCAATCTTTCCCAGCATCATTTGTCAATCTTATGCAGTTGTAGATCCGTTAATTAGGCTTTCCTAGCATGATCTTTTTGTCTCCTGTAGTTTGGCTACATCATTGATCTCCTGCTATTGTTTATTGACTTTGATCTCTAGTATTCATCAATGAACTTTTTCATTGTTCCTTAAATTTAGTGTGTTGTACCTTTTTCTTTTGTACGAGTAAATATGATGGCTATTGAAAAGCAGAGGTCCATTTCTCAAGTGGCATTTGCTTTAGAAACACTCTTTCCAAGTTGTGTAGGAGAATATGAGGGTAGTCATCTCCCCATTAGAACAACAACAACATCAAGCCTTTGTCCCACTGTGGGGTTGGTTACATGAATCCGTTTTCGCCATTGTGTCCGGTTAAAAATTATCTCCCCATTACTGGCCATAAATTGAATGGCCACAATTATCTCCAATGGTCATAGTATTAGTACTGATGTATATCTCTTGGAAGAGCAAAGATGATTATCTCACTTGAGCCATGCCAACATGGAGAAAGACAATACAACATTTAGAATTTGGAAATAAAAAATTACATGGTAATATTCTGATTCATTAATTATATGATTAACAAAATTAGAGGATTGTCTTTTCAGCTTGCTAAAAGAGATTTGGGTTAAAGATGTTTATTTCAATTCCAAAAAAATACATTAGAACTATTTTATATTGATGTTACCCTCCATGAAATTTAGCAGGAAGAATCATCTATTACCCGACTACAATTCCCTTAGATATTAATAGTAACAACTCGATCTGTTAGAAGTGACAAGTGGAAGCGTTCGGGAGATGAGAACATTATATAGCAAATCATCGAGAACAAAATGGGTTTCTAAATTTCTAATAGGATAGAACAATAAACTTGATGAAGTGCATATGAGAATCTTATGAAAAATTTCATTACCCACAATTTAAAAAGTTTTTTTAAAGGTTCACTTGAAAATTCATTAAACATTAATATTGTGTTCTTGAATTTTTGCATGAATTTGGTATCTGTTTCGTGTAGTGACTAACCATGAACTGGCATGCCGAAGTTACTGCACCCTCAGTTTGCTCTCTTGTAAAAAAACTATCTTGCAAAAAAACTATTTTTTATTTAGGTCATTATTTGTACCCATGATTGATGATAAATAACCACCTGATTTTTCCCAATTTTTTATTTTTTGCAGGAGGACCAGTTTCAGCGATTACTGCCTACATTCATCCAGGTAATAGATATGTCGGAGAACGAGAAAGTTGAATACTGGAATGTTGTGTCAGCTGTGTTCGAGGGAAAACAAGTCGTTCCTGATCCATCTTTAAGCAACATTGGGAGATCAAGTTGGGAAACTGATGATGGCATCAATAACAAGGTAGGCTTCACGCTTTCACTTAACAAACTTTTTCATCAGAGAAACTTAACTAGCAAAATAGGCTCAATTAAATCCGTGCCTTTTTCTCCTTCAATCTTATACAAATCTCTTTTTACTATTGCGATTATTTGCTAAGATGTGGAAACTAATTTTTTTTTATTTAAGATTATTCACTAGTCTATTGTTTTCTTAGGATTTTTTTTTTTTTGGTATTTTTAAGCCGTTATAATTTTTCTATTTATAAATTGGAGGGGGGATATTTTCTCAGACAATCAAATATGAAATTTGTAGCGTTGGCGACAGTGCAGCCATTTCAAGTTGGATGGTTGAAGTGGAGGAATGCATCGGGCTTGTTGCTCGATAGAAGAGTCCCCCTCAAACTTAAGGGAAAATTCTATAAGATGGTGGTGAGACCTACAATGCTTTATGGTGCCAAATGTTGGCCATTAAAAGAGAACCATAATACTAAGTTAAGTGTTGCAGAGATGAAGATGCTTAGGTAGATAAGTGGCTTTACCCTTAGAGATAGAATAGGAAATGAGCATATACGTGAAAAGGTTGGAGTAGCTCCAGTGAAAGATAAGATTAGAGAGAGTCGCCTTAGATGGTTTGGTTGCATTAAACGGAGGCCTTCCCATGTTTGACGTATTAGATTTGACTTATGTTAAGAAAGGTAGATGTAAACTTAAAAAAACTTGGTTAGAAAATATTAGAAATGATCTTTCTTTGTTAAATTTAAATGAGAATTTGACTTTTAACAGAACACAATGGCGAAAAAGGATTCATGCAGCCGACCCCACGTAGTGCGACAAAGACTTGATGTTGTTGTTGTTTGAATTTATATTGGTCTATTTCCCAGTATTATTAACTTCACCTTGCTGAAATATATATCTTAGGTGAATTTGTTGAGAACAATGCTTCAATGGGAGGAGCAAGTTCGGCATGGAACAGCCTTAGGTGATCGATATCACAATTCTAATACTGTGACTCTCAACGAAGTAGTCATCATAAGATGGCCCAATGGGGAGATAATGAGATTGAGATCAGGCAGCACTGCAGCTGATGTTGCCAGAAGATCGGGGGATGAAGGAAAGCTAGTGTTAGTAAATGGTCAGCTCGTTCAACCGCACACAGAGCTCAAGGATGGGGACATTTTGGAGGTTAGAGTGTGAGAGATTATTAGGTGCGGAGTGCAGACGGGGAGAACCATCCGCACAAGCATTGGATACTACTCGGTACCCCGCGGGGTACCGCTAGGTTCTCAGTATTTGTGCGGACGATGCGCACCCCGCACGTAATAATTTTTCCTATGATCACAATACAAGTTTATTGGAAGGAGAAGTGGGTTTCTATAGCTGTACAGAATTGGGTGGTGGTAGTCAAATCAAATAATGGGGAGCCCAAAAGGTTAGTGTATTGGCTACGATTGGTCACTGTATATATTAGTCATTTAGCAATAAATGCATCAATCAATTCTCACTTGTATTTAAATAATATTTGTTAAATGGTCGGTTATAATATAATTTGTTATTGCTATTCAAGTAAATGTGTGCCATCCTGTCTCTGTTCAACTGTTTAACTGTTTGGCCCATCAATCAAATAATTTTAATAAATGCAAAATCTTTTTGTCTGATACATATTAATTTGTTATGATTTCATTTATTTTGATTCCATATTAAATCAAAAAGTATTTTTCTTAGAAGATATTATTCAACAAAGATGGGTGAGATATTTTACTAATCCAGCTCGCCTTGGTCTATTGGTTGAGAGCTTAAGCTTTCAATCAAAAGGTTTTAGATTCAAGTCTGTGTGTGTTGTGTGAATTTGCTTTAAACAACCTAAATGTCCATTATATATATATATAAACTTTTTAATGAAGATTGTAAGAATATAATTTATTTTAGTGATATTAGTATCCTAATTAAAAATAAAAATTTTTATTGGTATATTAGTAAAATTGAAGTTAAATTTTAAAGAAAATGAAGAGTGAAAAAGCTAATAGACTGATGATATTTCAATGTGTGAAAATGCTTAGAAGATTTTTAGCTTACTAATTTTTTATAGATAAAATATGTCAGAAGAGTAGAGAATGAGTGTTTTGATTCTTATTGTTAAGAACAAAACTT